ATATTTTACTAAGGAAGGCTATGCTTATGTAAACACTAGAGATACAGATGGAAAACACGTTCAAATTACTTCTTAACAAATTCAAGAAGCTATATGGCATACCATTTTAAAACAATATATTTTTACATATAACTTCATGAGGTGCAATGACATATGAGTTCACTTTTACAGGGTTGTGTTCGACCAAGTTTAACATTATACCTAAAGCTTGACAAATCTTCTCCTGAGTTTGAAGTTTGTCTTTAAGTTGTTGGTAGTCGTTTCGAAATCTGCAACAGAACTTAAGTCTCTGCTAACTTCAGGATATGTTGGTTGTTCTTTTACAGGAACAATTGTTATACCATCTTCGTCCTCGTATGGTTTCCCCACTTCAACATCTCTGTCTTTGACTTGACAACAACACTTTGACTGTTTGTTTGAGTTGGTGAATTTAACTTCACATCTGCCACCGCCATTAAACCTTTTGAAACACTCACGCTTCTATTTTTCGGAAATGACATTTACTTAGAATAAAAAGATGAACGTATTCGAGTATCTCTTCGAATGAAGCAGAACAAAGTTTACACACACAAACAATACAAATACATTGACAGAATAGTTCTTTATACAAACAATGGTAAATGTTATAGAATAGCAATATTTGCTGAACCAAAATATTTTCATAAAGCAAAGAAAGTTGGTATAACTGAAATGGTGAAAGTTCTTGACGTTGACAAAAATATAACAAACAAAACTTACAGATATTTCTAAAGGAAAGTTTATCTTACAATATTATGTCAAAACTGGCGTACTGTCAATATTTGACGGAGAGAAGTCAGTTCAAGAACAACTTACTGACCTGCTGCCAAAATCTGCTCGATGGAAGCTGTCGTTATACCAATCTGAGGAGCCCCAGCAGGTTTCATCGAACGAATCTTCAAAAGAGCATCTTCCGTGAAAAGTGCTATTGGTTTTGTAAACTTCTTTGCTCTCAGTTCATCTGGACCGTCTCTGTCACCAGTATATTGTATTTGTACAGTACCAACAGTTGAAATACCACCATAAAGTCTTCTGAGTCAGCAAATGGAATGCCAAGCCAAAAGTTTGAACGGTCTCCATTTGTATATTGAGTTTTTTTGACCTCCTGTATGAGTCCATACTTTCACATATGGCATAATAGAACTTTGCATTTCAGGGTTAATGGTTGTTGTGAAGTTGTTGTTAAAGTCATAGCATCTAATGTCAAGTTGTATGACCTCATATCCTCAACTGTAGAATATTCTTCTCTTGGATAATATTTGCCATCTATGTTTATATGATATTTAATACCGGGTTGTAGAAACAAGAATAGTCATTTATAGTTCGTCTGAACAGTACAAACATAGTATCTGCATGTTTCATTGCAGTTGTTAAAGCAATATCTGTTCTTGCACCTGGGTCAGCACTTTGGTTTCCAACTTCACCTGCAAAGTCTTTGACAGATATTTGGTGTATAGGGAACATAAGTGGAACTGCAATATATTTGGCAGCTAAAGCATTTGAAATATCTGGGTCCAACATATAGACTGCAAGTCTGCTTTCTATTCTCTTGCATTCAAACTTTTCGCATGTGAACTTAACTGGGTCCCAAGCAGTTCCAGCAGCATTGAAAATAATAGTTTACTTCATTGTTGAAGTTTGAGAAACCAAAGTCTAAGTCAACTTTGTCTTTGCAAAAGTCACAGAACTTGGCTCCACCAGTTCCAGCTACAGTAATGCTGAATGGGTCTTGTGTTGGTGCAATGACTAAGTTATTTTTGCTTGGAGTAAGTTCAATAGAAATTTTTCCTGCCCAGTTTGGCAAGTATCTTAAAAACCTGAAGATGAGGAAAGATGACAAAGGAACTCTAAGTTTCAGTTTTACTTTAGTGGCAGCAGTTCCATCTGAACCAGAAAGGTTAACATAAACTCCTGGAACGTTAGGGTCAAGTCTTCTTATTTTCTCAATATTTGCATACTGGTCTGTTTGTTCTCTAGCTTGTGGTTGTACTGAGTTTCTCAAAGCGAACCATTCATAGTTTGCCCATGTTACTGTTTGAACTAAGTCAGAGTTAGAATATATCTTATATCCCATGAAAACTTCTGGAGCATATTGGTATCCGACATAGAAAATTCCATTGCAACCTTTCTTGTCAGACAACTTGGCAGAAGGCTTTATTTCAATGTCTTGTTCCACGTATAAGAATGAGTTGTCAATAGAAATAATATGAAACCTGTCGCAAGCAATATCTACTGTTGTTGAAGAACCTTCTCCAAACTCACCTACGTTTCCATAAGAAACAGCAGTTGTATATTCGTAAGTTCCAGGAACTATTTCTGACCTTCTAATGGCATTGTCGCATTCGTTATACCATTCGGAAACATTTCCGTTCATGGCATCCAAAACTGTTGGCGTTATATTCTGAGCGGCGTACATTTCATATGGGTAAAAATATAGAATAGTTGGATTTATATATCATAATAGAACCCACTCGGACCAAGCTTTACTTTCTTCCTGACTGAGTTTTTAACTCTTCTTTTTCCTTCATTGCCACTACTTTCACTAGATGAAGTTACTTCTTCACTACTTTCACTTTGTTCTACTCTTCTCTTCTTCTTTGGTGTCGCTTTTGGTAACTTGCCCTCTCCTTCAAGTTGTTGCATCTTTGCCTCATGTTCACCTAGTATGTTGTAAATTTCCCATGTCCTTTTTGCCTTTGGGCTCTGGTCGCCCAACTCAGGTAACCTATATCCTAGAAAGATTTTGTCATAGTTTGTATTTGAGTCTTCGCGTATTGTTTGCATGACTCTTTCCTGAGTTTCCGGTTCAAGCTCTTCAAACAGAGCTTGTCCATATGGAATAAGCTCGTTTCCAAATATATGTTTTTGTAGCCTTCTGGTTTTCTTTCCATGTTACCAATAATATCTTTTGTGAATGGAAAGCTTTTACCCAATGTTTCAGTCTTGCGTCATTTATTTCTGTAGTTGGTTTTATTTTGTCAAGGAACATGTTTTTCAATACTAACATTTCATTGGTACTGTCCATTTGAGTTTTCTTAAATATTCATCCCTTCTCATTTCATTGTCTGCAAAGTAAGTTTTTTATGACATTTTGCAAACTTTCGTTTGCAAGGTCATGTACAATAGGTTCTCTTCCTTCTCTCTCCCTAACTTTCTTTCTAAACTCTTCACCAAATATACCATCTCTATGGTTCTGTGTAGTTCTTGAGATAAATGTTCTAGAACGTCAGGTGTTATATTTCCTTCAGCCATGTTCATTTCATACTGGTCCAAAATATCTGCATGTTTCATATCTTTCAATGGCATTAAAGCCGCGCTGAAAATACCAGCTATATCTGGTTCACCATTCACTTCCATTGCGTCTACAACTTCTTGGAATTGTGGTTGTAAGTTTATGAACCACCTATCCGGATTAGCTTTATGACCCCATCTCATTGTAGTTCCATAGTCTGCAGAAACAAAAGTAGGTTTGTTTCCATATTGGTTAGGTTCTGAATGAACTTTAAAACAATGTTTTCATTTTTATATGTTTTGGTGAAATTTAACCTTTTATTTTCACCGAGTTCAGCCAAAGATTGAACGTTATATGGTCGTAAGTAAAAAGGATTGTTGTATTTGCGTACACTTTCTTTCAGTACTTCCATTCTATGCTGGATATTTTCATCTGATGTTGGAGTCTTTTGTATGTCGGCGAACATTTTTCGATATTCTTCTACTATGTCAGCCGAATTTTTCTTAGACTCTTGGAAAGATTCCATATTCTCCGCATACACTTGTTGAGGGTCAAGATTTTTCGGCTGTTCCAAATCTTCATCTAGTTCTGTGAAGTTAGTTTCCAAAGGAGGGACTTGTTCGTTTCCTTCAGGCTCTTCTAGCTGTTGTTGCTGAACTATTTCTTCCATGTCTGGTTGTATCTGAACTTCTTCTTGTGGAGTTTCTTGTACCTCATCTGCTGGCATTTCATATATTCCGAGACCGTTTTTAACAAGTTCCCTATTTAAGTCATCCGGACTCATAAACCTTTCTTCTTTCGTTCCGTCTCTATTTTTTACGCGTTTCATGAAGATAGTTGAATTATCATTTATCTCTGACACCAAATATCTTGGAGTAAATTCATCCATGTCATTTGGATGATATGCTATTAAATCATATCCCTTAGCGAGCTTGTATTTTCCAGGTTTGAAATTATATCCCATTTGGTGCTGAACCATAAAGCTAAATAGGTTCGGGTCAGTATTTCCTTCCTTGAACTTTCTAATAGCTTCTTTATATCTGTCACTAAAGTCAAGAGTATCTGGGTAACCATAGTCTTCCTTAAGCATTTTTAAGAATTCTTGGTTTCCTTGTTCTCTACTTCTTTTATGTCCTTGCTCTGTTTGTGGTTGTTGCTGTGCAGTGTTTTGAACTGTTGGTTGTGGTGCAGTGTTTTGAACTGTTGGTTGCTGTGCAGTGTTTTGAACTGTTGGTTGCTGTGCAGTGTTTTGAACTGTTGGTTGTGGTGCTGGATTTTGAACTGTTGGTTGTTGTGTTGGTTTTGGTGCATGCCTGTGTCTGTGTCCATGTGACGATGTAAATGTTTTAGGTAGTCCTGGTGCAGGTGCTTCTCTTGGAGGGTTTGGTGGTATATAAGTTCCACTAGCTAGTATATAAGTTCCACCAGCTGGTATATAAGTTCCACCAGCTGGCACATATGTTCCATCTGCAGCATAATGTCCTACCTGACTTTTCGTTTTTAAGAAAGCATTTACTAGGTCTGTTTTGGTCTGTTGTTAACTCTTTTTCTTGACTTTCCACAACAGTTGCTCTAACGGCGTCATAGGCACTTTGAACTGCCTGTCTCGTTGCTGCATCTGTTATTTTCGTCATATTTTGTGCTACTTCTCTTAACTCTTTGTCGAAACCTTCAGACTTCAGTTTCTTTCCAGATGAGAAGTCGTTCACTAGTTTCACCTTACTATGAAGAGCTTCGAAGGCGTTCTTAAAGTCAGCATTCATTAAAGCTTCATTTGAACTGTCTTCATCCGCTTGTATTTTTGTCCTTATTGACCCTATAAGTTGGGCTGCTTTAGCGTTGGCTTGGGCGTCTAACCAGTCATTATTAGCTTTTATATATTCTGCGCTTTTCATTGCCTTTTGCATGGCTGCGTCGTTATTTTTACTTTCTTGTGCTAAGTTTTCATACTGTACGGTTTGGTTTTTGCAACTGTAAAAGTTTTTCTGCCTTTACATTTGCTTCAACTTCTTTTTTTATACTCATCGCTATCCATATATGTCTTCAGGGCTTTTTGTTTTATTTCTTCATCTTTCAGTACTTTATATTGAGTAGTATGGTTTTTCAAATTTATAACATCTTGTTCCATTTTTGCTACTTCTGCTGCTTTTTCTGACACTTTTTTCGCATATTCCTCTGTACTTAGTTCTTTCAGTTGTTCTTCTTTCTTCTTTTTCTCTACGTTTAACTCATTGAGTTTCTTTGTGTGTCTGTCATATTCTAGTTTCTTTTCGTTTTCACTTATTTGTTTCTGTATGTCTATGTTTGACTTTTTGACATCTGTTATTTGATTTTTGAGTGAACTCAAATTCATTTGACTTTGAGGGTTATAAGCTGTTCCGTCTGCAGCTCCACCATAGCCTGCCATTTTCGCTAAAAGTGCCGCTCTTAAACCTCCACTCTGTGCACCAATAACTCGGTTTAAAAGCATAGGGTTGCTTGACATTTGTTGCAACATAGTGGGGTCATTCATAATTTGTTGTTGCAACTGTTGTTGTGGTGTCAGTTTTACTATTGGATGTTTCAATGCTCTCTTCCTCTTACGTATATTCTTACGTAGCTTACGTGGCATTTTAAGTGAAGTTAAAAAGCGGTTTTTGACGGTTGTTTGTATGACACTTTTTGTTCAGCACAAAAAACTACTCGGTCAAAGTTTTGTCAGTTTTGTAAAATAACCGTCCTATCTCCGTGCCTATGACGATGAAATCATGACAAATTCAAGAGGGTAGAAAAGAGGTTAGAAAAGAGGTTAGATCTAACCTTCTACCCTAAATTATATTTTTGGTCATTTACACTCATTACGAAGAAGTCTTGACAAAACATTTACGTTCATGTTTGACAAAACATTTACGAAGAAGTCATGAAAATTCAAGAGGGTAGAAAAGAGGTTAGAAAAGAGGTTAGATCTAACCTTCTACCCTAAATTATATTTTTGTCTGATTTTACGAAGAAGAAGTCTTGACAAAACATTTACGAAGAAGTCTTGACAAAACATTTACGATGAAATCATGACAAATTCAAGAGGGTAGAAAAGAGGTTAGAAAAGAGGTTAGATCTAACCTTCTACCCTAAATTATATTTTTGGTCATTTACACTCATTACGAAGAAGTCTTGACAAAACATGTACGATGAAATCATGACAAAACATTTACGAAGAAGTCTTGACAAAACATTTACGAAGAAGTCTTGACAAAACATTTACGAAGAAGTCTTGACAAAACATGTACGTTCATGTTTGACAAAACATGAAAACATATATAATTTGTGAAAAGCGACACATTATATATAATGTTTTCGACCCAGAAGACTAACAATTTTTCCGAATAAAAACTTCATTTATTACTAAACATCATCAGGGCTAGAAGGCACGAAGTGCCTGGAAGCCCCACTACCTTTTTTTTTTTTTTTATATATATATATCAGATGATATAAGATGATTTTTTTAAATAAAAAATAAAATTTAATTTTTTAATTGTTAAAATAAGAATAGTAAGCTTGACAAGTAATTTAAGTTTTTGCTTTGTAAAGTTATTTGGTTGGCAAATGCATTGTGTCACTTTTTGTTTGAGTTCACTTTCCGTAATTTGTCTTATGATACCAGGACTGTTGTCAAAATGTCATGTTGTCTCATTTTTTCAGAGAAGTTAATTAACCGAGTGACATATGGTGACGTAGTGACACCCTCAGTTCTTCAAAAATAATTAATTATTGAATAACCTGAAACCATTAACGTAAACATTAACGATAAAATTTATTTCCAGGACTGTTGTCAAAATGTCATGTTGTCTCATTTTTTCAGAGAAGTTAATTAACCGAGTGACACATGGTGACGTAGTGACACCCTCAGTTCTTCAAAAATAATTAATTATTGAATAACCTGAAACCATTAACGTAAACATTAACGATAAAATTTATTTCCAGGACTGTTGTCAAAATGTCATGTTGTCTCATTTTTTCAGAGAAGTTAATTAACCGAGTGACATATGGTGACGTAGTGACACCCTCAGTTCTTCAAAAATAATTAATTATTGAATAACCTGAAACCATTAACGTAAACATTAACGATAAAATTTATTTCTGCAGTTCATCCATTACTTCATTACCTAATTAATTACAGACATAAAATATATTTAGTTCATTCAATA